TAAAAAATATTACATATTAAATTATATTAATAGGTTTAATAATAAAAATAAAGTTATAATTAAATTATACGATTTAGATGAAAATTTAGTGTGCTGATGATATTAATAGGGTTATGGACAAGTTGAACAGAAATAACTTCAGGTTTTAGAAAGAAGCAGAGTGGCGCAGTGGAAGCGTGCTGGGCCCATAACCCAGAGGTCCGTGGATCGAAACCACGTTCTGCTAGTAAACTGTTCTTTTTATATAGAGAGTATTTATATTTTTTATTTACATTTTTTTATTTGCATACCCCAGCTTTTTATCATATATATTTTGTGTGATTTTTTTATTTATTTACAGAGTATATTATATTAGATTTTAAATAAAAATAAATTCTATTAAAGAATGACAACTAGGAAGATTAATTTTATCATTATTTGTCTCTTTTGAAATAACTTCAACTTTTGTAAGAAACATTTTTGATACGTCAAATTTATCTAGGATATGCAATTGTTTCTATTAAAGTGGAACATTCTGTATTCTTTTATATTTATAAAAACTATGTTTAGTATTTTTGTCTTATTTAACAATTCATAATCGAAAAATATTCTAAGTATTAATTTTATTTTAAAAAAATAAAAAATTTTTCGCCCAACGTGGGGCTCGAACCCACGACCCTGAGATTAAGAGTCTCATGCTCTACCGACTGAGCTAGCCGGGCTACTTGATGCCAAGTTCACTTAATAATTATATGAAGGTATAAGTAAACAGTAATAATCAATACTTGAATTTTCATACTGTAATATTGAAAACGATAGCATAAATAATAATAGATAAAAAAAACTAGTTAAAATAAAATAGTGACAAAAATGAAATTGTTGCATAAAATAAATCTTTATTAAAGCTCATTACATCTTAGTAACAAATAGCTCGTTACAATCCTGACAGTAAATATATTATGTACAATCGTTTCTTTTATATTAAAATGAACACAAATAAGTACTTTTTTAGTGTCGCACTAGTACGGATTTTTATGGCACATGAATATGTTTGTTGTTGTTGATATAATAAATTATACGCGTTTACAACGCAATGTCCAATGTAACTTTCTTTGTTTACATTTGTCCAGAATAATCGTTTATTGATGGTCCCTACCGGCAGTATGGATGACCAACCAAACTCTGATTAACTTAATAATTAATTAATATGGATACTATTAATTTTTTATTGTGTAACTATAGAGAAAACATTATTAGATTAGAAAAGGCGAATTACACAGTTAAAAATTTTAGTTCAATTCTACCGATTGATTTAATCATTAATCAATTTATCACGTAATATCCATGCTATTTTGCAAATACAACTAGAATTATAAATTTTTTATTGTTAGAATTTTATTGTTAAAATTTTTTATTGTTCGTTACTTTAATCAATAATAAATTTAGCTAGTGATATCTATGCTTCGTAATATGAATTTTATTAATTTTTTTTCTTCTTCCTAATATATTCTTAATAATAATTTTTCTTAGAATTTTTTATATAATTTTTCAGAATTTCTATTATCTAATTTTTAGAAAACTTTTCAGATACTTATTCGAATTGAAACATTTTAGAATGTTAAGAAAGTCTTAATCTTTTCAAGAATTCTTTATAACGATTTTTTTTACATATTCTGTGTTAATTTTCCAATTCTATAATTTCCGAAGAAAATTTATAAAATATAAAAAATTAAGATACAATATTAAAAAAAAATCTTTATAAATCTTTATATTAAATCTTTAAAATATGAAAAATTCTTAAAAATATTATGAGATATTATGAGAATTTCTTTTAATTAGGAATGGAACAAAATATTAAATTAGATTCAACAAATTATAGAGTTACAAATTGTGTTCCAAGCAGTCATTCTGCTAATTAAATTAATCCAATTAAGTTAAGCAAAGTTTGGTTGAAGTTGCTCTGAGTTTCTTTTGTATTTTCTCGTCGATATTTTATTGCATTTTTATTGCAATATTTCTGATATGTCCATAATTGTACAGCGTGCGACAAACAGGTACAATCAAAGTAATTTAACGAAATATCTAGAGATCAAGAAGCGTTATCCTATATACAACATATGATATTATCTAATGTGTAATATTACGGGGAGGACTTCGAAGGGTTTAAAGTTATAAGTTATAAATATATATGCGTTCCAAAAAATAAATATACGTATTTATTAGTTTATAAGCGCTTTCACGGTATGAACACATTGAATGACAACATTAACAATACCAAATCTATCCTCACCTACTACAAAGGCAACTTTACTTTCAGAACTCCGTTGATTATCAAAATCACTACCGCATCTATATATTTACGCGAAACACAAACTAACAGTAACATATTACAATACATCAATACATTATAATTTCTCACTCAATGTAATGTAACTATTTGTTATGTAGAACAAATGTTATATTGTGAGTGGAAAATTTAATATAATTTTAATGTAATGTTACACTATTAGTTCGTGTTTCGTGAATTGTACCGATATATTTAATATTATTGCTTAATATCCGAATGTATAATAATTTTCCTAATTCTTCCAATGATGATTGAACCTCAAAAACTATTTCACTCGTTGATAAGACAAGGTCTTTGAGTATCTTAACTCTAGCCTTACTTTTGTTCTTATTTGCCGAACAACTAATACATCCATATCGTGAAGAACAATACAAATGCCAACGTTGAACTCTTTTCCAGCTCGATATTGCTCGCCATCGAACAACCCGGTGGACATTCCAGCTCGACAGTGCGATTCTGATAAAGAAGATTTCTCATGATCTTCTTTCCCTCGCACGAATTCTCCACTTTAATGAACTTAATCTTCTGAGTTTCGAGAAACTGCTCCAGATCCATGCGACAGCGCCACTTCAACGGGTTGCCAGCAAACTCGACGATGTGCAAATTTGGCATATCCTGAAAATCACTGGTGTAGATGCACTGCAGATCGTTGCCCTCGAGATTTAGATAAACCAGCCTGCGCAGATGGCGAAAAGCGCCCGGTGCGATATAGCGGATTGAATTACCGCGCAGATCCAGCCGTTCGAGATGTTCTATGTTGAACCAGTTCGCCTCAATCGACGTCAGTGGGTTACCCTGAATAGTGAGCCGTTCCAAAGAGTCCAGACCCCGAAAAGCACCAGGCGAGATCGTTCTCAGACCGCAGTTCCTAATGATTAGCTCATGCAAGTTACGAAAATTGTAGAGAGCATTGACCGGAAGAACGGGCAAATGACCCTCGTAGAATTCGATATAAACAGCGTTGTGTGGTATGTTTTTTAGCAATATTAGATTGCCACCCACGCAGCGATATCGTGGTTCCGTAGACTCGGGAATTTTAAAGCAGGAACCTTCCAGGGTCTCATTGTAGAAGCCTATCGAGGGTGGCTCGGTAGTCGTGGTAGTCCGTGATGGGGTGTAAGAAGTCACTGCCGTTGTGGGAGGCGTCGTCGGCAAGATGGTGACATAACAATCGTCATTCACGTCGAATAGGGAGTCGCGATTATATGGTATCTTGCGGGAGTCCAGGAAACTGGCCAGCTTGGTGCCGCACAAGCAACTCCATGGATTGCCTGATACTTTGAGAGAATACAGATGCGGCATTTTGCGCGCCATATGCTCCACGCCGAGGCAGTTCATGTAGTTCTCGGATACATCAAGAATGTGCAGCTGCGACAGTGTGTCGAAGACCTCGTTGGGAATACGATAGATGTGATTGCGCGAGAGGTCCAGGTATCGAAGATTTGTCAGGCCCTCTAATGCCTCGGATGTCACTGAATTCAACTGATTACTGTGCAGTGATAAGCGCTCCAGATTATACAGGTCAATGAAGGCGCGATGCTCGATCGTCTCGATATTGGAATCGCGTAATTCTAGCTGGGATAGCCAGCCGTCGAAGCGGGCAAATGCTCGCGTTGGAATCGTCTTCAGATTCGAAAGGACGATGCGAATGGCGTGAACTGAACGAGGTAAGACATCCAGCTCGGTGAGCGAAGTGATGCCGCTACAGGTGAAAACCTGCCGTGACATTTGAGTCTTGTCTCGCACGCAAGTACCCCTGTGAACCGGTGGTCTCTCTGTGGGAACTTCAACGATCGGTCTTATTACAGTGATATTTCTTTGGCTCAGAGTGTCCTCAAAAGTGGTCCAATGCACGTGGCCGTGCATCGTTATCTAAAAAGAAATTAGATATATTTAGTAATTTTGGTAAATCCTGGTGAAATAAAATTCTCATAACATCTTACAAGATTTTTAAGAATTTATTACATTTAAAATTTATGAAGAAATAATTTCTAAAAAAATATTATAAATTTTTCTTGAGATGATAAATTTCCTTTAAAAATTATATAGAATTAGAAATCTTAGAATATTTTAGAATATATAAAGAATTCTGGAAAAGATTTTTAGACTTTCTAAAAATTGTTGTAATTTGTATAAATAATCTAAGAAATTATTTTTAATAATTATAAAATAAAATAATAAACTATAAAATAAATTATAATATATAAAGATGCGTTTCGCGGGTTTCTTCCGTGTCCAGATCCATTCTTGGAATGCCAACGTTTCGTGAACCTTGTAGTCCACTTCATCAGGGTGAGGAGCAGACTGATACTACAATAGTATCAACTTGCTCCTAGCCCTGATGAAGTGGACTGCAAGGTTCACGAAACGTTGGCATTCCAAGAATAGATCTGGACACGAAGGAAACCCGCGAAACGCATAATCTTTAATATAGAAAGCACCCGTGGAAGCTTCAAGAATTTATTAAATTATTATACGTATAGAAATTCTTAACAAATTGTAAACTTTACATAAAATAATCATCTAAATAATCATATGAATTCTAAGAAAAATTTTCGACAGAGGTAGTATTAGAGATTAATCAAATAGTGTAATTGTGTAATTGTTTGATTGTGTGATTCTCTCAGTATAATTGTGATTCATTAAAATTTTGCTAATCAATCGAGACATAATGCGTAAATATGCAACAAGTCCGCCTTAAAAGTCGACTATACATATATCGTTAAGCTTAAATCTATATATGTTATAGTGTTAGTTCTAATGTCTGAAAAGCGCATCAAAATAAATCACAATTACACTGAGAGACTATTTGGTAAATCTTTAATACCATCCTAGTGACATTTTTTTCAGAATTTTTCATATAATTTTTAAGAATTTTTATACAATTTTATAATTTTTTAGAAAATTTCTTAAATTTGATTAAATTATAATATAAGGAAATAATGTTGTCACCTAAGTAGCAATGTTGAAAAGTCAATATGAGACAAACCTCCCATGAGGAATGGAATCTGAATTTGAGAAAAGTGTTTCGTAAATATGAATCAGCTGCTTCCGTACTAAGGAGCTAACACTTCTCGGAATTAAGAATGTTTAAGGACTATAGGAATGTCCAAGTCCAAGAAGTCATCTCGAATTTCCTACTTTACTTCTCATCAGTAAATAAAATTTATTTGATTTCTTTTTAGCAAATATTAAGATTTTTCAGAATGAATTTCCGACAATCATTTTTTTATAAAAAAAAATATAAATACGAAATAGATTTCAATGAAATTCAAATTTGATTGTCTTAATATTTAATAAAAGTTTCATAAGATAATTAAATGACGCAAATAAATTTATACTGGAAATTTCATCTTTAATTTACTAATTAATTTAACAATAATAAGTGAAAATCGAGAAATAAAAAAACTGAGAAATAAGCGAAAGAGGCCATATTCGATCAAAATGGATACTCCGTAATAATATTTTATCTTATAACTTCCAGTTAAAAGTATTGTTAACAACAAATTAATAAAACAAAAAACGAAATAAAATAATAAAAAATAACAACAAAATAAAACAAAACAAAATAAATAACAACAAGTTAATACTTTTAATACTGAAAATAAGCGATTAATTGGCTAGTATTAGTATTAACCCTTACAATATAAGATACAATTTGGTGCCTCATCCATCCAAACATGAGTCACTACAATATATCTGTCCATCTGTTTTTCATCTATTCAAAAAATCTTTAAAAATTCACCAACATACTTTCAATTTTCTAAAATAAATATTGAAATTTTATTTTGGAAAATAATAAAATGTAATATAATTTATAATCTCTGAAAAACTCAAAGAAACTTGCACGAACAGGAGTCGCTCGGTCACTAGTAACCCGACCTTGTACCGGTAAGGATTAAATTTCTATAAGAGCAACATGCTCTTACATCTAATTCTACCCTAACGAGCGCATTGGAGTGAACAGATGCTATAGTAGGAACATGTTGGAGCATGTTGAAGCATGCAACGCGAATGAATCTAGTATTTCATAAAGGGTGCGTTTGGTTTTGACAAACACACACACACACACACACACACACACACACACACAAAATCGTATTTACAGGATGCAATCGCCGCTATGAATGCTTCAAAGCATTTTTTGGTCAATTAGTAAAATTTTTTCGTCTGATTGGTCAATCAAATGCTTTGAAGCATTCGTAGCAGCAACTCGATCACAGCCATAGTCGTGAATCAACCAGAGATCCGATTTGAGCTAGGTTTGAATCAGTCTTTCATTTGAACAACACTTCTTAAACCACGATTTAATAAATCTAATTGATTCAAACTTTGATTTAAAGATAGCTCGCTTTATATGAGAATCAATCGTGGATTGATCTACGACTATGAATATACAGACCTAAGTTTTATTTTATTTTTATCATTCATTATATTCGAAAGAAAATAAAATGCAATTTACAGCATAAAAAAACAAATGCGTAAAAGAACAGCACATAAAAAATAAATAAACGCCCTCAAAAAAAAATTCCTTGGTAAAAATAAAAATCGGAGCGTAAGTCGAATATAATGGGAGAATAATAGAAGCATAAACGATCAAACTTCTACTAGAAGGCAAAAATTGAAACAATGAAACGTAAAGAAACGTTCATTTCCGTTGTTTATTTTCGCCTGCTAAAAACTTCGTTTACGGTATTATTACTCTTCCATTATAATCGACTTATGTTCCGATTTTTATTTTTATCAGGGTTCATTTTCTCATTCGAAGCTACATGGAAATATTATCAGAATTGCCTTCATTTTATCTTAATCAAGTATTAAAGAAGAATAAAATAACACATGGAGCAACTCAGGTAATACTTCCATGTGTTTCCGAATGTGTCTGAGAATAACAAATTTTGATCCATCCTCAGAGAACATTTAAATCTTTTCTTTCGAATGCCGCCACGTCCGATGCTTACTTTCGGGTGCTGCCATCCGTCGGTCGGTTCAATAACTTCGTTCTCTTCGTAACAGCGATCAGCACGAGTGATATCGAATCCCACGTTACGGTCCATCAGGTATTTCTCCAGATTCCTGCGGCACTCGCAGTACCACGGGTTCCCGATGATGTCGAGTCGTTCGAGGTGCCTCAGATGTGCCAGCTCGTCCAACGGCAGGCAACGTAGTCGATTGTATCGCACGTCCAGATGGCGCAAGTTGCCGACGAGTGGTTGCAAAGCGCCAGGCTCAATGTGCTCGATGCCGTTGCGCGCGAGTACCAATTGGCGGAGTGCAACGAGATCACTGAACCAATGGGCGGCAACCGCGGGCAGCCGGTTGCCGACGAGCGTGAGCCGTTGCAGCTGATGCAGACCGGCGAACGCGCCCGGCTCGATCGCGCCGATTGAGCAATCGCGCAGATCCAGACTGCGCAGGCTGTTGCCGAAACGGAAGAACGCGTACGCGGGCAAACGATCGATCCCCAGACCCACGATCTGAATCCACGTAGTCCTGTCCGGCAGACGGTCCAGTGACGTCAGCGCGCTTATCTGGAAGCGGTGGCCGGAACGTTCCTGCGCGAGAGAACGAGCGAGATAAGATATCTGGAATATCTGGACGCGCGATCGCAATTTCCGATCGCGACAGAGAGGTGAGCGTACCCGCTCGTGCTGGGTGGTAGTAATCATGTAACTTTTTCCCTCTAATACCCGTTTCTGCCAGTGTTAATTTTAATCTTGATTCAATTAACTCTTCATCTCATTCTAGTCCTAATGCCCACTTTTTTAATATAGTCTAATTTTTATCTTGATTCAATTAACTCTTCATCTCTTTTTAGTTCTAAGAATTAAAAAAGATGTAGAGTACGTTGAACGTACGAAATTAAAATTAATCTACATTGATAGGAAGGGACATAAGTCTATTTTACAAATGTATTAGATTAACTTTAATCTCGATTTAATTTACATTCCTTTTTAACTAGAAAAAGATAAAAAATGTGTTAAACCAAGATTAAAGTCAATCTACATTAATAAAAACAGACTTAAGAATTATAAAAAGATGAACAGTAAGTAGAATCGTGACTAAAGATGATATTGGTAGAAACGTTTAAATTCTAATCTACAATAACAAGATTTTATAGTATTCTTTTGCTCCAAGTTGTAATGTTAATTAATTTGCTCTAAACTTTAAACTTTAGACAGCGAAGGCTTATTTTTAAAATTTTACAGTTCTTCTGAATAAGATTTGTTATAATTTATTAATATTTTGTTATATATTTTATTGTATACTCCTTGCCTCAAAATATAACAATGTTTCAGTACCTTTATAGTGACTTTCCCGTCCAGTAAGTTAAATTTTATGATTGAGATGATTGAGACTCGAGTTGCTCGCTTAAAACTTAGGGATTATTGCTTAAGATAGTGTCGAAAATGCTAAAAAGTCTGTTTAGAAACCTATTCTTTATCGAAGAATTTTCTGAATTATTTTCTGATCTATATACTCAGTGCAATCAATTGAAGTGAAATAAATATAATTTATATATTCTTATTATATTGGTGTACATCAAAGAGTTTATCGATAAAGTACACATCTTAGAGCTTACAGCAAAAGACTAAAGGTTTACTACACTTATCGTAGATCGAGTTAAACTGGCTAAAGTCAGCGGCACACAATGCACATTTTCTTGCTGAATTAGTTACGTTCTAATAAATTACTAGAACTAGAATTATACCACACGTACTAGAATTATACAACGCATAATTTCCAGTAATTTACTAAAATACAAGCGATCGTGCAAGAAAATATATATCGTGTGCCATTAAAGAGATAGAAACGTGAAAAGTGAAATTTTTTCATCAATGAAGATAACGGAGAAATTTTTTTACTTTTCACATTTTCTAGCTAGGGGGAAAGTTACATGAAAAATTCCGTCGTATTCGATTACATATACAGTTCATGTTATGTTATCTCCATCGTTTTATTTTCGATTATCATCGGCCATGATAGTAAACTGAGATTCGAATTTTGCTTCTCCTTGTGAATCTCCGAACGACGTGATTATCAACAAGGACCTAATGACAGAACGGAGTTAATCATACTAATTACATAAATGATATCACGGTGATCTTTGCTTCCTACGCGACTCGTATCGGCCGCGCGTCGATTGCGTAGCGCGCGCGATTTTTCGTCAATCCCACGAGCCAATCAGGGCAATAGCCTCGAGAGCCACGTGACCCGGCTCGCGCGAACTTCACTTGAGTCGAGAGTTGCGTTCGAGACGATCGAGTTGTCACATCGGCCGAGACGGACTCCAACGTTTCTACACTTATGATTTCGCGTATCTAACGTACGACAATGAAGGAACGCTCGTCGTCGGTCGCTCGGAGGATTGCGTGTCGGCTGGTAACCGCCCTTAGGGCCGGGCGGAAGGAAGCCCAGCGTCTGTGAACAATCGCGTCGCGCGAGTCACGTGATTCGTGTGTCCGTCCGCCATATGTCGCGCGCGGTTTTCGCCGGAGCGGACCTGTGCGTCGCGTCGTCCGGGTTCGACAACGGACGTTTTTTCCGCTTGTGTGTTGTGCGCTCGTGTCATTTACATGTCACGCGCGGTTTTTCGCGAGGCGACGCCGTTCGTCGTCGCCGGAACTCGGAAGCAACCGTCGAAGGGGGACAATGGCGTTCGAGGGGACGTCGGACAACACGCAAGGGTCGGTCGTGGCGCTACCGAGAACGCTATTTCGTGCTCTGATAAGGTGAGTTTGTTTGTTTATTGAATTATTTTTCCGGTGGAAGAACGTTGAAGTACAGCAATAGCAATTTCGACGAATTTGAATACTGCAGAACAGACATGTCCTACTTTAGCCGAGATGCAAGGCCATCGGCGAAAAAGAATTTAAGACGGTAAGATTTTGGGGACTGTAACAATGCGTTCGAAAACACTACTCAAGTTCTCTGAATATTACTTTATCCTTATTATCTGGGGTTAAAGTTGGACGTGCTTGTTGTAGAAGATTAGTTCTACCAAATGACGTAACTTAAAAAATATGTGTGTGAATACTAAATTTATTTTAATAATAATATGAGTTTATTTTAATATCACTCATTTAAATTTATAAATGTTGAGAAAATATGTATAATTGAATGGGTTCACTAGATAGATCGCTAGCTAAGAAAGTTAAGATGAGCATAAGATTTTCTGTAGATTATGCTACATCATGCAGACGAAAATTTTTATTTTTATTTTTATAAATTTGATATTTCTCGAAATTGCTGAGTTTGCGATTAGTTTAGAATTTTTTAAATAGTGATTTGCGGGAAATCGATCAAAATAATTAGCCGAAGAAAATGGGAATCGAAATTATATAATTAATTTATGAATTATTTGAATTATATGAAGAATATAAATTTTTAATAGCGTCTTATTTTCCGCGCTACAAATAAATCTGATTATTTCTAATGAAGTATCATCGGCATGTGTTATACCCATTTATATCTTGCGTTAATGTTCGTATTAAATTATATCTAGATACTAATTGCCTGATTTTTCTTCATGTATGATAATGTGAAGGAGAATAAAAATCGAGAGCAACGACATTATACAGTCATTAAACGCGCAATTAAATTCTTAATTAGCTATCGTGCGCAAACTAACGTTAACATTAAATTTCGACTTTCACCCGTAATATGCGTTTGATAAGGTCAGTTTTTAGGCGATAGAAAATTAGTGAGACGTCTATAAGATACATTGTACAATATTATCAGATACGTAATTACATTACGATTGAGGGGTTTCTGTTCCATCTCAAGATCTCGCTTGGACTGCCTGAAACGCGATACTACGAAAAAACAATGCAGTTTGACTTGAGCAGTATTGTCTTACTGTCGGTATATCGATACTCGCTGTAGTTGCAGTTTATTTCATAAGATCGTAAAACGGACAATGTTTAGGAAGCTAATATTACTCTGATGCTTTCACAAAGATCTCAAATTTCTAATATTTAATTCAAATTTATTTGATGACCACTTCTACCAATGTTGATTAACTTTAATCTTGGTTTAACTTATTTTTTGTCTTTTTCTAATTTTAGGTTCGGTTCTACCAAACGTGTAGAATACGAAAATGTAAAATTATATAAATTACATGATAGTTTTGGCCATAAGTATAAAGAATCTTCAATTTATTGTATTCTCTTGGAAAATGCGATAATAAAAGTCTAAAGGAGAATTAACAAATAAAATAATAAAATTGTTATAAAAATAAATATTATTTTCAATAAAACTGGTTCTAATTTTTATAAAAGTAGGAGAAGATAAATAATAAATTAAACCGAGATTAAAGATAATCTACATTTGCAAAAAATGAATATGAATTAAAAATATTAGAATGATCTTCCATAGCTGTTGATACCAATAAACTGAAAACTTTCGTAACGAATGGGTTAAAATTTATATACAAAAAAAAACATTTATGCCCATTTCTATCAATGTATTTAATTTTATTTTAATTCCGATTTAATTTACTTTTTATCTTTTTCTGATACTTAGATTTAGAAAAGGATATAAAATAAGTTTAATGGAGACTAAAGCTAATCTACAGCCTTGACTATAAGTACAAAGCGCTCCCATAAATTGATGTATACATTTTATCTGCAGCTAACGAAAAATAAATTAAAACCTTGATTTATTGAAAAATAATATATACTGTTGTACTAATTTTATTATTTTGTTAATCTTCCTTTGCACTTTTATTATCACCTTTTCTAAGAAAATGCAATAAGTTGGAGATGCTTTGTACTTATGGCCAAGGCTATATGTTAGTAAGAATAAACGTTAAAATAAATAGGATAAAAATTTAAGCTATATTACATCATTGTTAAATTATAAATGATTTACCTCGAAATTTTCTATCGGTTCGATGGTTATCGTCGGAGGTGGAAGCGGGATTTCGATCTGTGTCATGCACTGCGGATTTCGATGCACGGTGCAGATCCTCGGTCGAAATCTACATTCAATCTCTTGAATAATCGATCTCTCGCGAAAGAACCTCTCCATTCTCAGGCGGCACTCGCACAACCACGGGTTGCCATCAATGCGCACGGTCCTGAGCGCCGTCAGATATGACAGCTCCTCCACCGACAGACAATCGAGGTCATTGTCGCGCAAGTCCAGGGTCTCCAGTCGCGGTAACATGCGAAAAACGTGAGGCTCGACGTGCACCAGGCCGCATCTAGAAGAAGAAACGCGAGATGTACTTTATGTGCTGTGCACTGGAGAAAGAATCTGGATGCATTAATTAGAATTCTGATGGAAAGAGAACAAATCAAAGTGTTCTGGTTAAATCTATTAGAATTGTAATCGAGATAACCAGATGTTCAATTAAGATGGCCAGAATTCTGATTGATATGATCAGAGTATGCTGATTCGTTTATTTTCAACCCGAATATTTTCCTTAATTTTCGAACTTGGAGATCACGAGAATTAGAGTATGTATTATAAGCTAACTCTCGAGATCTTTAAACGGAAACTGGAATAAGCGTAAAAATATTAAGGGCTGGTTATTTCATCTTTGAATAAATTATGTCATATTTTATCTAATGGATAAAAGAGAAAAAAGAGACAAAGAGGATGTGAGAGCGAATAAGCTGAGATTTATTGGAAGGTGGATTAGGTGGAACCATCCAATCTATAATATAATCTCGGAATTCAATTCTTATAGTTAATTCGGTCACTCGCACTACACTGGATTAGATGCATATTAAAGGCTGTTTTATCAAATATCTGAATGTAATTTCATTATATAATCAACTTCAGTGTTGAATTCATAATGTCATTCAAATTATACTCAATTTGAATTATTTTTAATCATTTTTATAAATCGTCACTGTTCTTACTCAATATGTCGTTAATTAAAATGGAGTTAAATAATTTAATTCAAGTAAATGTATTAAATTTGATTATTTATTATATATAAATGTATATGTTAATTTAAACATATTGTTTACTTTGAAATTAACTACAGAAAATGAATTGATTTAAATTTTGACACACATGAGAATTAAAAATTATAAAATGTTATTTAACTTAAGGGATTAGGTTATCATTGCTCTTTTGATATCTAACAGTATTTGACAATGAAATAATACAATGTAGATTCTGTTAAATAACGTGATTATTTGTTATTATTTGAATGTCATTATTTAGTCGTTTAAAATATTTGTATGCTTTTACATGTACTTTGCTATTTCATGTACAACTTTTAGTATTCACTAATTTAGTGTAATTTAAGTGACCAAACTCGCTATTATCTACATCTTAAAAAATAGAAAATATTGCGCTTTCAGATTTAGATAATGGTGGAAAGGATCTTAATAATTAAGACTCTCAATATTGGAAATATTCTTTAAGCGGAATCGGAAGCTCTTAAAGCTCTTCAGATTTCTAGATCTTTTGAAACGAACTTTTGCCAGGCACTGAGCTTGGCTCTGAGATTTCCGCTAATCGAGTTTAATATCTAATATTTGTATATCGAATGACATCACGATCGCAATGGTGCAACGAATAACTGGGTCATCGACATTACCGAATGTATAACTGCCGCTTTACATAAGCTGCACCACGTGGCCTCGATCTATCGGTGCCCTCGAGTTTTATGAATATAACGATGCTGTGACAATATTGTCGATGACATTTGGCATGAATCACTAATGTGGCATTAACCGCCACGAATCAAATGAAATAAAAAGATTTAATTGATGATAATAATTAAATTAATAATTTCTATGTTATGTGAGAGAGATTTTTTATAACTGTGATGTATTTTCGTAGAAAGTAAAGTTGAAAAAACTGTAGTTACTTGTATTTCTGAATTTTGTTCCCTGATATTGTTCATTTAAATAGCATTTTTTAGCCAAAAATTTACCATAATTTTGTCAAGTTAGATTCATAATTAGACTGTGAGAAAAACGTCTAATGTCTACCTGTCTAGGACCAGTCGTCTGATATTCGGCAAGTGCCGGAACCACGCGGACCTCACCGCATGGATCCTCGTGCCATGGAAAATCAGCCAGTCGAGTCGATTCAAGCCGCGAAACGCCGCGGGTTCGATCAAATTTACGTGGCAATTGTAAAAAGACAGGCGACGTAGATTCGGGAATCGGTGAAACGCGTCGTCGGGAATCGTGTGGAAGCGCGACACCGAGAATTCAATCCACTCAGTCTCGCCGGACAGTTCGTCGAGGTCGCTTAGGTCACCGTGGATGCACGCGTAGGCGATCGACCGATCATTGTCGGCAATCGGTGCTAAGCTGCATTTGCCATGCACTTGGCCAATTAGGCCGACCAACGCCCAAAGAAGCAATATCGAATTGACCATCCTTCTTCGTGATCGCCTGCTAGTGGGTCACCTGGAAAAGGGAACGCCTTTAATCGAAAATATCGACGATTATTTTCGAAATTATATTTAGATCTTGTTGTATGCCATGTAGAATAAATATTTTATAAAATGTCGTTAACTAATTGACGTTATAAAATATTAATCAATATATACACGGAAAAAACGATTTTGCTGAAGTATCCAAAAATTTTGGATGCCGATCTGAAAGTAATTTTGTTAGACTATCAAAATAATTATATGTAGGATGCTCAAACATAAGCAATGTTGCAAAAAGTTCTTACATTCTAGCAGCCAACTCCTACATAATTATTTTATCCAACAAAATTATTTTCAGATCTGTATAGAGCTAAATTTTTAGATATTTTAGCAAAATTATTGTAACGTGTATAAATTAAATATAGCATACTATGCAAGTGCGTGTGAATATATAACTTATGCTCTTAGACATTTTTTAAATTAAAACTTTTATAGACTATTTGATAATATCATGAAATGTAGCTGCTATATTAATTTATTATTGTATTATTTAATGAATTTAATTATAATATTCTGTATTAATTTACTATTATATTATTTAATTAATTTAATTGAGATATTCAGTATTAAAAACGAGATGTAAAGGCTTTTATGACATTGTGTGTAATGCACATCCCCTTAGGTCGGAATCAGACTTGCAGTGAAGATTAAGATTGAAGATTAAAGATTGAAATTTCACCAATGAGGACAAAGAAATTTTGACTTCTTTTGCTTTGATTGATCAAACTTCAATTTTTCAATCTTCAATCTCATTCTTCAATGCGTAGTCTGATTCCGGCCTTACCTGGAAACTTACCTAGTGTTGATATTGCGTAATCTCACCCGTTCACTTTTCTGGCGTGGCTCGCCAGAATCGTTTCAACCCTAGAAACATGCGAAACAGTTTAATACCTCGATATCTAAATTACGTTACAGAATAATAAAGAATTGCATGAAATATTGTATTCGAACGACTGGCGAATAAATTATTGTACTACGGCTTTATTTGCGTATCGCACTAGTTATGTCAGTTCTGTGATGATCTCATGTTCAGAGAATAAACACGGACCTAAAGTGTTGATGCGTTAAGTGCATGGTTAATGCCAAATTTTCGTTTCGTCGGGATTTTATTACATACATTTGCCGTACGCTCGATGTCGTTACGAAGTAATACGACTTTACGATACTCTCCGCCGAAGATATTCTGTCCAATGAGTTTCACGTAACGTCTCGTTTGCATGGAACAAACTAAAAAGAGTCAAATAGATTTTTTGCATATCTAACGAGCTTAGTCTGCGTAGCAGATGCGATCTCGTATGCGTGACCATAACCATAATAAAAAAATCCAAGGTCGCATTAAGTTTTCAACAGATGCGCGCTCGATGCGAGAAATCAGCCCTAATTCTTCTCCCAATTTTAACATTCGTTATTATTATTATTTAGCAGCGTCGGTACGCAGTTAAATACAGATTACGAAATACAAGTTGCATTTTGAACAACTTACAACGTGCAATTGTTGGAAAAAGAAACTAACTCAGATGAAATATGAGATTCTGTATTAAAAAGTGTTTTTTTTTTGTTGTAAAAGATTAATTTCCATTTTTATAAATGTAGATTAACTTTAATCTCAATTTAATTTAATCTTTATCGGTTTATATTATTCTTTATCTTCTTCTAATTCTTAGAATTAGAAAAAGATAAGTAAATCCGATTAAAGTTCAAAAAAGTTACACTCGGGTTATCTTCGTAGCTTCATACATCGTTAATTACTAGAGTTTCGTGAGATTTCATGAAGAAGAGAAACAACTTGATGCGAGAGTTAAAGTTAATCTACATGGATACATTAGGAAAAAAATCTGCATTAATTGGAATTTTAATAAATTTAAGAATTTGTGTATCAGAAAGGTATAAATTAGACACTTGCAGTTAAATCTATCAAACATTCTAGTTCAGAATAACTACTAGTTATAATTAATTAATATTATTAGTTAATATTAATTAATTAATTTAAAAAAAGACAACTTTAAATAACTATTTCAAATTATATCGCACTCTCAAAAATGTCAAAATAATAAAAAGATGAAGAAACGAGTTAATTAGAGTGAAGCGCTGTAAGCGTTGCGCAATTTTTGTATGTGTAAATTTTCAATTTATTAGGACGTTTTGGATCATCTTCAGCAATAATTCATAAAATAAATAAAAAACACATAAATTGAGTTGAATTCTTGGCGAGAGAACCTACCAGTTACCACTAGTTGTCATTGCATTGTAGATTATTGTTGAAGATAATTCGAACGTGAGTCGAAACGTCCTAATAAATTGAAGATTTACGCATACAAAAATTGCGCAACGCTTACAGCGCTTTACTCTCATTAGCCCGTTTCTTCACCTTTTTATTAATTATTAATTAACAGTTGAAACTCAATTATAATAACCAGAAATCTGATTCGTCAGAATTGATTTGATTTGTCC